ATCATATAAAGAATGACACTGCAAACGTATAATATAACGGCACACACGACAGATAGGCAAATGAGAATATTAACGATATATTCGGAAATTATTCAATTGCAGTCCATGGGATAAGTGGAAATTTGCACATGGGAATATAATTCAGTCATTTGAGAATATAAAAAATTCGAGAAAATGCTGAATTTCAAGGTGCAGAACAGATTCAAAGAATTCAATACCGCAGTATAATTGAAAACAATGTCCATTAGTGAACTAGAATGAAGATAATCGAGACGAACCTATTAATTGAACGAACATTTCCGGAGGAAATGGTAAGGATGATGAAAAAATATGATTAAGAGGATGGTAATGTACAAATCACATTCAACAAACTGAAAAGAATACGAGTTAAAGTAAGAAAAGAGGAAACGAAACTGCAAATAAGATATCAACCATGGCTAATTTCTAGTCACAGAGAAGGATATTACATCCTTGAAGTTTCCCTTTCTTCGACTAAACATACACAACTACGAACGATTCTATGAACATCAATTGAAGAACAATAAGACAGCGAAATAAATAGTAATGGAAAGCACAAGGAAACTTTCAATGAAACGAAATATTTTTCTGAAATTCAATCTAAAAATCCACAAAATAAGCAAACGAAATGAAATGCGTTTCCTTAAAACCACACTGTAATCCCGAGAAATTTTCATGAAATTATAGAAATGTCAACATAAAATTATGAAAAAAAACAATGCCATCGAATGGGCGGCATCCATTATCATCGAAAGTTTGAATGTGAAGAAAAATGTAACTAAATGTAAGTAAGTAGAAATTTGATCAGCCGGATTCAAAAGCAATACAGAAATGCATGGAATGTGATGAAAGCAGGAAACAGTCAAACGAGTCAAAAACAAATGCTTGAAAATTGCTTGCACAAGACGAATGGCATCAGCGCACACATAAATGTTCTGCATAGATCATTTGTAAGTACTTACAAAAATATTTCAAAATACATTTTCAAATATCTCAAATTATTTAATTACATACAAATGTATACGCCACAGTATTGAAAGGTGATGAAATTGCATAATCGCAATTTTTCCCCATCTCATTGAATACTATCGCGATAGCTGTAAAATCAGAGATAAGTTCAATCAGAGATAACTGAACGTCCAAACTCGAAAATTTCCAAGGGGCTGGAATTTTTTTTGTTGCAAAAACTGAATCACCAACCATTTCACCTACCGAACAGAAAACATTCTGAAAATATTTCTCCATTTCATCATTAAATTTTACACCTGAATCTTATTTCCTTATCTGCAATTTCATCATAAAATTCTTTTAAAGATTATTTAGAAGAACACGAAAAAAAACTGAAGAGAGTTATTCATCAAATTCATCAATGACTGCTGGGATTTAGAATGACCATTGCTTGCAGTTCAACGTCCCTTATACCACTCAGTTCGCGTGATTCTTCGACTTCAATGGTGTTGGCAACTTCGATGCGAATTTGTACTTCCTCTCCGAGAGTGGTGGTAACTGCTGCGACATTGTCATACCCTTTGGAGACGACGTCTTCGGACCCATCTGAAACTTCCAACAACTATGATCACAACTCCAATCCATCCACACAAATATCCCTTCGGTTGAAAATGATACCTGCCCATAGGGATGCTTTAATAAGCAAAACCTTCGGCAACCAATCTCATGAAAAACTAGCAGCCATATACACCGTAATCAACACACAAAGCCCAGGTTAGTGATGTTAGTAATTGAAATGAGACAAAGCAGCGTGAACGAATAAGTGCGAAAGTATGCAACAAATGAATGTGTGCGAAATGTGCAGCAGTCCAGAATTATTCCTGCATAAAATTTTCACGTTAC